TCGCCTCTCGGCTCCGGGAGGGAGATCGGAAGCGTGGGGAGAGCGCGGGGAGAGGGGGGTGCGGGCGCCTGGGAGCGAGAGACGGTGCCGGCTGGCGAGGAGCGGACCACAGACGCGGAAGAAGCCCGGCAGCCGGCGACGAGGAGACAAAACCCAAACAGCACGCGCGCAAAGTCACCCGGCGCGGAGAAGGAAGGAGCGAGGTAGGACAGGAAGGCGCCGCATCGCAAAGATGCCCGGGCGCCGCGCGGCCGGCGCAGGACCCGGGAGCCCGGAGCCCACGCCAGTCCCGGGGGGCTGCGGGATCGCGAGCGGAGCCCTCCCCCCGGTTACCTGTGCTGCCGCCGCCCTGGCTGCCCCTGTCCGGGGGGAAGATGCTGGAGCACTTCTCCCACTCCACCTGGCCCGCGAAGCACAGCTCTGTGACGATGTGCAGCGCCTTCTGGCACAGGCTGCTCACTCCGTCCTCCTTATGGAAACTCATTGTTTGGCCTCGTTTACCCCCGGGAGCCGTCGTTTCCCCTTCGCGTCACCTCTAGGCTGGCCCTTCTGGCGCCCTAAGCCATATCCCGCCCGCGGGGGCTCGGGCCCGCCAGGGAGCGCGCGGCTAAGAGGCGGCAACTCTTAGGGGCCCCACGTTGGCCCCATGGCGGGAGCGGCGGGCTCGGGCGAAGGCGCAGAGGCTGGGGCAGGAGCGGCGCGAAGCGGCGGCGACGCGAGGTTTTCGGGAACTCTCACGCCGTCCTAAGGAGCCAAAGCCAGCTGCAGAGAGAGACCCGGCGTGGAGTGCGGAGGGGAGGGGAGGACGTAGAAAAGCTAAAGCCCTCGACTCGCACAAGCGTTTGTGTTTCTGGCGGGTGCCTGGCAGCGGCGCGTCCAATCGCAGCCTGCGAGGGCCCGGTGACCCCCGGCGGGATGCGCGATCCCCCTTCTCGAGTTCGGGGCGGGGTGGGATTGGCACTGGGGGAGGGGGTTCTGGCGCGCCTGCTGGGCTCTCCTGCTGAGCCCCGGGGGTGCTCTCCTGGGAGCGCTGCGCGGCAGAGAAATCTCGATTTTTCTCCGTACTTTTCCCAGCATCCAGCATCCGTACCCGGTACCCCAGTCCCCTGATCCCCCCAAGGCCTACTGCAGATATGTGCTCCTGTCTGTGTTCTGTCCTGTTCCACTTTTCTGAAGTCATTCCAACTGAAAACAAGCCGGGGAAAAATTAAATTGAAGAAAATGAGTAATCAAACCAGACGTCTCTAAAAAGAAGAAAGACGTCCCTGGAAAGTATTTTTAAAATGATTTCTAACCATGATGGTTTAGAGACAGAATGTTTAACCGGAGAGATCTTTTCATTACTTGCAGTGAAATTCACCATAAGGTATACTTACTGTTTACCCAGTTTAGTTTTTCTTTATGCGTAAATAAAGTGAATAGGCAGATTTAAATGTATTGCCTTTCTGATTTTTTGTTGTTTGTTTATATTAACCTTAGGAGATCACAAAATTAAATGTTATTTTTATTAATGTTAAGTTAGGATTCTGTCCATTAATCTGCAACTGGCAATTGAAATAGCAATAACCTGACCCTTTTATCGCCCTGTTTGTTGACTGGGGGAAAAAAAAAGCACAACCTCAAAGTTGAGAAGTATGTTTTATTTGGTGGACCTTCTGAAGCCTTCAAGCCCAGGAGACACAGGGACTGCTCTGAAGAGATAAGGGAGGAGCCAGAATACACAAAAGTTTTTGCAACAAAGACAAGGTAGTCAGAACATCAAAAGATTACTGTTAGTCAAAGAAAACTAGATATTCCAGGGTAAAGAACTTAGCGCTTTTCTGTGTATAGGAAGATGCAAGAGCCTGGGCTCATTGAAGCCATTCCTTGGATATGCACTTTAGCTATCTGGAGCAGTATTCTGTTTTTTCCCGTCCTGAGGCCCCTCTGGGTGCACTGGGGTGGCTGCAGCAGCTGAGGGGTTGGCAGCCCTTTGTCTCCATCCCGAGTTCCTTCAGGGCTCCCTTGGGGCGTCTGTAGTAGCTGGATGGCTGCAGCATCCTTGTTTACTGACATGGCAGGCAACATTTTTCACTCAGAACTCTTACAAGTGACTTAAATACTGAAAAAGACAATACACAGGTGTTAAAGAGGAGGAGGGTTAGGTTCAGATCTGTTACACACATCACTGCTTAGCCTTGAAGAAACTGCTTTCAGGTCTCTTATCTCAGTCTGTGAAATGAAGGACTTGGACTCTGGTTGTAATTCTCTAATACACAGGAGTGATAATCACTAATGGAGCCAAAGCTATGAAACAATGTTAATAAACGTGGGCCACAAGTTTGCAGGAAATGGGTTTACATCGCTTGTAAATTGTTTTCAGACACAGTTTGAGCCCATATAACCTGAGGATTGATTTGACCTTTGTTGGGTAAGGATTCTTTGTTTTTGAAGTGAAATATCCTGAACTTGTTAGTGTCAGGGAGGAAGAAATTTCCCTCTGCCCTTCTAGGTTTTTCTGGCTGGTCTAAGAATTAAATTCATATGCACCAGATCAACAGGAGAAAGTCAAACAAAAATTTAATGGCATGTGTATAATCGGAGAGACTAAGTCCTGCACCTCATACAGCATTTTCAACTAAAGGCAAAAGAGATGTTGGGGGTAGTGGTTTGGGACTTCAGAGGGGAGGAAGGCAATTCACATAAAGATGGAAAAGCAAATGATCGGTAAATAAATGTTTGCTAGACCACGCACAGACAATAGGTGACAATAAGAATTTTAACAAACAGACCTTGCTAGGTTCCTCCCAGTCTGCATACTTGGTTCATACTATTGTTATCTGTGGTGATGACTTCCTTCCTGGAACAGCTCTGTCTACACTCTTGAGGCAGCTAGGAGGAAGATCAAAGTTTCTTCCTGAGTCTTATGGGCCTGGATTGTTTTCAGCTCAAAATAATCTGCATGCCAAAGAAACATTTTGGGGTAGCAAGTTTTGCTCCCCTAGAATAGGTGGTTTTACTTTAAACTGCTCGGTCGTCTGTGATCAGTTATTTCCCCTGTTAGGACGCTATGCTAACGCTTACTATAAATATTAGGCGTAGCATCCCAGTAGGTAAGAATGTATTAGTTGAATCATTTTGACTGGTTCATACGACAACTGGTACAAGCAGGGCTTTTTATCTTGTATCAAGACAGTAAAATCTGTAGGCTTCATTTGCTGTTTTGTTTTTATGCACATTGATGTGGGTTGTTTTTAGATCAGATTGACTCAAGAAATAATTTCACTGTCAATTTAAAAAATTTCTGAATGTCCACTGTGTTTGAAGCTAAGTGTTACTGAACAAAGTCTCGTGTGTCCGCAGCACAGAAAACCAAACTGACGGGTTGTTTGCAGCAAAGCAAGGAGTTTATTGCAGGGCACCAAGCAAGGAGAACGGGCAAGCTCATGCTCAAACGGCTTAAAGGCAAAGGTTTTTAAAGACCGTGTTGGAAGGAGAGTCCGAGGATGTGTAATCAGCTGGTGGACATTCTTCTGATTGGTTGGTGGAGAGGTAACAGGGCGATGTTTTGGAAATCTCAGCCTTCTGGTTCCAACCAGTCTGGGGCCTCCCTCCTTGCCGTCAGCGAGTAGTCACCATCCTCCATGGGGGGAGGGGGTCTTGGTTTCTACAGAACAACTCAAAGATATGGATCAGATTGTTATCTGTGTCCCTTCAAGACAGGGTAGGAGGTCCTATGACTCTGTTGTTCTAATCGTTAGCTATCGAGCCTGCTGTTGGGAACTCACTTGGGAACTCACGGAAGGCTCAGGAAACTAAAGCCTTTTTTTCTACAAATAAGAAATGGGGGACACGGACAGGGGATTCTGTACCCAGGAAGGCCCCGCAGAGTCCTGCTCGGTTTCGTAAGTAATACATTTTAGTAAGACCCTTTCCAATTGCCCTTGTCCTCCAGCCCTCCACAATCCAGACAGACAGAGCCCTGTAAAACAGCCTGCAATGTAAGGCTGCATTTGCGTATTTACTGTATTAACAAGCTGTTGTGCGGGATGACCAAGTCAGTAACTTTATGCTACTTACAGACCCTACTTGCTTACGTGGGATAACGCAGAACGTCTCTCTTATGTTTGGTTTCAGTGTTAAACATTATTAGGTAAGCAAGTTCTGAAAATAACCTTCCTGGCGTTTGTTGATGCCCTTCCTGGCCCGTTACTACTTTACTGCTGTGTTCCCACAACAAGCAGAATTAATTTCACTTGGCTATTCATTTTTCTGAATTCATCTGAAATTTTTTGCTTTCATCTAAAATAAATACCGTCAGATTTTGATTTATTTTCTTTGTTCTTTAGACCATCTCACAGCTTATTAACAGGTGAATCAAGTCAGTTTTTTTCATATCACTTATTAACAGCTCCAGTAAGAGCTTTGGAAAAGTAGAAACTAGATGGAAAGTCATTTGTTTCAACGATGAAGGATAAGCTAACAAGAATTTATCTTGTGAATTCTTGAGAGGAGGTTAGACTGATACTCACTGAGCACGACTCGCTGTGCTAAGTGCTATGTGAGGCACTGATAGTCACAAAGGTCTTTGTCACAGCTTCCCTCTGTATGACCTTTGCATTAAGAAGAGGAGGAATTGGTTTGGGGGGTGAACAGCCTATGAGAACTCCTGTGTGAGCTAACTAGCTTCTTGGGTGGTAATTCTAGGCATGCAACATTCCCTGATTTCCCGGCAGGCCCAGGCCTCTTCCAATGCTTTCTCTTTCCCCTTCCCAAGCCCCTTTCAAAATCTGGAGGGGAGGGAGTTACCTCCTTAAGGTAGACATTTCCCCCAAGGTAAAGGGAACTGGAGACTCATCCCTGAGACTGTAATTTCAAACATGACTCGATTCCAAAGACAGGAAGTAAGAGGGGGAGTAAATGAGGAAATCTCAGAACAGCTGAGCTCAATCTGAAAATGAAGGCGAGAGACAAATATTACATGTTAACTTACAGCTTTTCCACCTTCTTTTCTGTGTTCTGCAGGGAGCTCAGACTCAGGGGGGCCCAATTCTAACTTCCTGGACACGCTTGGGCCTCCTCCCATACGCCTTAACTTGGAGAACGGCAGTACCGTTCACGCCCAAGTGGTAACGATGAGGACTGTGCTGCTGGCTTGTGTGCATGGGTGTCGCTGCTGAGAAGTCTGGTTTTATTCTGACCCCGGATCCTTTAACTCAACCCGATTCATCACTCTGGAAGGTCTGGTGTCTTCTCTTGTTCCACTGTGTTCATTTTTTTTTTTCATTCATCCTGATAGATATTCAGTGAGCATTTCCGAGACTCCATTTTGAATTCTTCAATTTTGAGAAGTTCTATTGATTTACTCCTTCAATAATTCTTTGCCTTCTATTTTTCCATTTCTTTCTATTTTTAGTCTCTCTCTGGAACTCCTTCATGTTGCATCTGTGACCACCAGGACGGAATCTTTAATTCGTGTTATTCTCCTCTTTTCTCTCTACCACCCCTTACTTTTTGTAGTTGAAATTTGAAGAAATTTCCTTGACTTTCTTTTCTGACTTTTCTATTGAATTACTGCAGCTTCAGTTATTATCATTTTAAGATTTGTATACATATTTTTTGATTGTGTTGTTTCTTATTTCATGGATACATATCATCTGTACTTCTTTTTCAGACCATATTGATTATATATA